TAGCCTTGAGAGGAGCTCAGAGCCGGCCAGGGTGGGCGGGAGGGGAAGCCTCCTGCTCGCTTCAGCTCCGTGGCCATGCCGACTGAAAGCAAGTATCTGGGGTTTATTTATCTTCTATAATTGAAACTTTGTTGCTTTGAGTGGAGCTCAGAGCCCGCCATGACAGGCGGGAAGTTGGCTTCCTCCATCATTGGGGTAACCAGGCCTCCTGCTCGCTCCAGCTCCATGGCTGCCGGCCGCCATCTTGGTTGGGTTAATTTGCATATAGTCGCTCTGATTGGCTGGTGGGCATGGCTTAAGGTGTAGCGAAGGTACAGGCAATTTGCATGTTTGTCTTTTATTAGTGTAGATGTGCTTCATCCAGAATAGGCAGATCATAGAGATAGAAAGTAAATTGGTGGTTGCCAGGGGTTGAGGAGCTGGGGAAAGTAGAACGTGACTGCTAATGGGTGTGAGGCTTCTTTTTGAGGTAATGAAAATGTTCTAAAATTAGCTAGTGATGAAAGTTGTATAGTTCTGTGAATATACTAAAAAACACTGAATTGTACACATTGAAAAAGTGAGTTCTATCGTATGTGAATTATATCTCATTAAAACTGTTACTTTGCCCTAGCCAGTTTGGCTCAGTGGATATAGTGTTGGCCTGCAGACTGAAGGGTCCCAGGTTTGATTCCCGTCAAGGGCACGTACCTAGGTTGCAGGCTTGATCCCCGGCATGATCGGAGCTTCTTTGGGCAGCAGCCAATCGATGTGTCTCTCTCAAATCAGATTTTCTCTCTCTGTCTCTCCCCTTCCCTTCCACTCTCTTTAAAAATCAATGGACAAATATCCTCGGGTAAGGATTAACAAAAAACAAACAAAAAATCGCTGTTATTTTAAAAACTGCAGTTTTAGGAAAAAACAGTGTATGTGGCATATAGTTGGTAATCGTAAATTTCTTTTTTCCTCTTTAATACTTTGGAAATCTTAAACCATGGACTTTCTCTTAATAATTGATTGCCCTTTAGAGAAAATCTATTATCAGTGGTTTTAGTCAAGTTTGGTAGATTTTTTACCATGAGTTTTGATAATGGGACCAGGCTACTTTGGAGAGTTGATTGCCTTTTGGTAAGATTTATTGCTAAATCAAAGGACAGAAAATAATACTCTGGGAGGTATTTTTTTTTTTAATATATATTTTATTGATTTTTTTACAGAGAGGAAGGGAGAGGGATAGAGAGTTAGAAACATTGATGAGAGAGAAACATCGATCAGCTGCCTCTTGCACACTCCCCACTGGAGATGTGCCCGCAACCAAGGTACATGCCCTTGACCGGAATCGAACCCGGGACCCTTGAGTCCGCAGGCCGACGCTCTATCCACTGAGCCAAACCAGTCAGGGCAGTGGGAGGTATTTTAGGTACATTATATTTATGTTATTGTGGGTTTTATATAATTTTGCGTATTTTTGAAGTGATACACTATTAAAAAGCCACATTATGTGTCTTCTTGATTCTGGTACATAAGCTTTTTTGTGTGAATGTTTAAAGACTTAGTGAAGTTAGAAGGTATCAGTGTTTGGGGATAGACAACTGATTTCTTTGAAAACTTTGTATCTTATAGACAAGGTTTTTCTTTATTCTTTATTGTAGGCTTTAGTGTTCTGTGAAAGACCCAGTGAATTTCTGCCACATATAATTTTATAAATATCTGTGTGGAGGATATTGAATGCCTTTAAAATTGATTTAGAGAATTGCTTTTCTCTGATTTAGGAGTGTAAGGAGGGCTTTGCAGATGTGGGATAAGATACAGATGATATTTTCTTTAATACTTACAAGTAAACCACTTGTCCAAAAGTAATATAAACACTTTCTTGTTTAATTCTGCATTGTAGATCTATTTATATCATTAAGTGATATGCTGTCCAAATTTAGAGGGTTTCTTTAAAACTACTTTCTCATTCTGTGTGGCAGGTTTAAAAAATAAAACAAAGCATAAGGACATTGCCATGTGTCCAACCTAGTTGGTTGCCTTTGCCTCTCAGATTAGTGTCCCTATTCCAGTCTGCTGAAGAGAGGAGGAGCCTGCTTTCTCCTGGAAGGTAGGCAGTGACATTGCCTGTGAACCCAAACATTGCCTCTGATGCCTTGCTTCTGTGAACTCCCCAGGAGCTGATAGACTATCTGCGAACACATTCTCATAGTGCAGTGTATGCCACGTCACTGTCACCGCCCGTTGTGCAGCAGATCATCACCTCGATGAAGTGCATCATGGGGAAGGATGGTACCACCCTTGGTAAGTTGTTCTTTCCTTGGAAAATGTCCTGGCCTCTGTAAATATTTAGCAACCAAACAAAGGTTTGTTCTAGAGCTTTTTGCCTAAAATGAGGAGCCAGGTACCCTAATCAGCAAGCTGGCAGGTGTGTGAGGCCTTGGTTTCTATGGACACTCTTCAGTGTTTGATACACATGCCATGAGAACTAGTCTGGCTTGCTTCCTGTTGAATTTTATTCTCTACCGGTGGTGAGACTTTAATCTAACAATCCTCCCTACCCTTATTAATCACAGGAAATAAGTCTTTAGGATCTTTCTTGAATTGCACAATTTTATGTGAAAATAGAATTCACTTTATAGTGATATTTCATTCCCATGGTATTTAAAAGCTGCTGTTTTCATGAATTAGTGTCCTTGACTTGGTGCCTTGAAAAGAGTTTGTAATTTAACATACAGTAGCTAATATAGGTCATCCTGAATTTGTTTATTCTGTCTTTGGTGGAATTTGTAGAGTAGGTGCCCTAACTTAAAATACTAAAATGAACAATCAAGTGTGCGTTTGCTTTCAGTAGTTCACTTTTATTCTGCATCCCTAGGAGGCAGTGTTAACTGCAGAAAAGTTACAGTGAAAGGGGAGCAGGTGGATTTTTGTTTTGTTTTTTCACTTTTAAAAGTATTTTAATTGAAGAGCCATACATTAATTGTGCATGTTGGTTTTTAATGCTTCTAAAATCATTTTTACTGTCATAAAAGATCTCACATTCTCAGCCTTGAGCTCTAGACTTTTTAGTTAAATAACACTGTAGTAAGATTAATTTGGTTTGCATTGAAAAACAAGAAAGAAGTGATATGTCTGATTTTGATTGATTTAAACCTGTCTTCTTAAGTCAGAATTTTACCTTAATATTACTATTACTTCTGATCTGTGATACATGCTTGTTATCTCTAGTGAGAGATTTTTGGAAATAGATTTTTGAAGTGTTGATCATTTTTAATTTCATGAATTGATTCCTGGAGAAAAAACATTTCATTAATATTGTGAACACAGCATGGAGCCTTGAGCTTAGCTCCCTCTTAACAGTCATAATGTTATCTTCTCTCCTCCCCACATGGTGTTATTGAAATAGTGTGCTTTGATCTGAGATACAGTGATATATCTATTTATCTATATAGCTAGCACTTATCAAGCTACTTCACATAGGTGCATCAACCTTATTGATTCAGCAGACAGCTTTAGACAACTAAAAAAATGGACGGCTAACAGCTATCAAAGTTAACTTTGGATAATTTATTTGCCCTACCCCAGAGCGTGAATCTGTGTGATGCTGACCTCTGGATAAGGATAAGTGACTTATCTGTACTAAATAATGAAATCTAGGTTGTGAGAAAATGAAATATGGTAATTAGATATAGGCTTTGGGTTAGCATTCGTTTTCCAGTTTATTGCCTCTCTAACCACACCCCCTAAGCTTAGTGGCATGAAACAACAGCCATCTTATTATGCTCACAGATTCTGCGGGTCAGGAATTCGGTCAGAACACAGCAGGGATGGCTTGTCTTTGCTCCACAATATCTGGGGCTTAAGCTTGGAAGACTCAAGCCACTGGGTTAGACTCAGATGGCTGGGGGCTGGGATCATCTGAAGGGTTCCACACTCACATGTCGCCTGGGCTGGAGTGACTAGAAGGCTGGGCCCAGCTGAGGCTCTTGACCAGAGCACCTTCACATGTCCTCATCATGTGGCATGGGTTCTTCATAGCATGATGACTAGGGTATCCAGAGAGGATGCTTCAGCAAGCAAGTGTTCCAAGGAACCTGCTGCAACCCCGTGACCTTTTCTGATCTGTTGTTATGAGCAGGTGACTAAGGCCAGCCCAGATTGCAGGACATGGGAAATCACACTCCATCTCAAATGGGAGCTGGGTCAAAGAATTTACGACCATTTTAAAAAATTGCCACTACCAGCTTTTAAATAATATATTTTAAAAATTACTCCCTAAAGCTTTTCTTTATTGTTAACACTGTTACAGATGTCCTGTTACCCTCCTTTACCCTCCTTCACCCAGCCACCACCCTCTTCACTAAAATTTTAAATTAGTATGACTTCTGTTGCCTACATTGTTTCTCTGCCAAAATACAGGATAATAAAAATCTAACCAAAAGTAGACTTACATACCATTTTTCGTAAAGCCTTTTAACTGATCTTAATTAATTTGGCCTGATTTATTTTATTTTTGAGTGCATTAGGTAATGCTTATTTTTATGGCACCACTGAAAGCATCTTTTTATTGTCCTTGTAGAAAAAGAGCTGTGAACCATGCAAGAACCTCTTTACTATGTCTTAAGGTGGCCTTAAAAAGAGGCATCTCCAATTAATTACCTGAGTGTGACTTTACAATAGAATGGCCTGCTTTAAGAGAAAGTTCATCTCTGATGTTCAGGACATGGCATTTCATTGATCTCACAAACGTTGAGTATCTCACTAAATGTTAGATGGTGTGAATCAGAATCCACAGGAAATAGGCATACAAGCAGATCATTTAAGTGACGTATATACTTGGGGAGTATTGGGGATGCAGGGGATAGTGGGTTGTTGATTAGTCCCAGAGACTAGTGCTGCATAGAAAAATTGAAGTTTTATTAATCATAACATATGCTGTGTGTTAGCAAGTGGTAAGTACTTTGGGGAAAAGGTAAGCCAGGATGGTGGGCAATCAGGAGTTCTGGGGACCAGTTTGCAATTTTAATTAGGGTGGTCATTGAAAGGGTAGGATTTTAGCAAGGACTTGAAGGTGAAGCTTTAGCCCTGAAAATCCAGGGATAGAAGGCCCTCAGATGGAGGCTACTCTTTCCTGTACTTTGATGCTTTTACTCTGTGTTCAGGAATAGCAAGGAGGCCACTATGGCCAGAGCATAATAGTACAGGTGAGTGAGTGAGGTTAGGATAGAGGTTGTGCAGAGTGTAGAAGTTCCAGCAGGGGGCAGTCTTACCTTGTAAAAGTATTAGGTTGATACAAAAACAGACACAGTTTTTGGTAATGCAAGGATGAGTGTAATAAAATATTAGGATAATGCTGTTTTAGAAAGATGGAGACTTTACCAAAAATGAGCTTTCAGTTAATAGGCAGTATTATTGGGCAGAAACACGGTTGGAGTAGATAGGCTTAGGGATTTCACTGTATATGAGTTATACCAAAGCTGAATGTATGAAAGTTGACTAACACTGTACTAAATTTTTTCCAAGTATATGTCATCTCCCCTATCAGATTATAAATTCTTTGAGGGCAGGGACCCATGTCTTGCTCCTTCTTTGCACCTTTTCTTCTTCTTTTTTTTTTGGGGGGGGGGGGGGGGGGTATGTGGCTATCCTCAATAGAGGATATTCTTGCCATTGATTTTTTTTTGAGAGAGTGGAAGGGAGGTGGAGAGACAGAGAGAGAAACACTGATGTGAGACACACCAATTGGTTCTCTCCCACACTCTGACCTGAGCTAGAGATCCAGCCTCCAACTGAGGTTTATGCACTTGATTGGAATCAAACCCAGAACCCTTCAGTCCGCAGACCGACGCTCTATCCACTGAGCCAAACTGGCCAGGGCTCCTTTGCATCTTAAATAGTGCTTATTTCAAGACCTTAGAGTCAATAATTGACTTCATTGTTCTCAAAATTATTATCTCTCTTCCCCAAGTAGAATGAAAATTGGGAGTTTTGGCCACCTTTTGTTTCTTCTGTTTAGAGCTGTGTTTGGCACATAGTAGGCATGCAGTAAATACTTGGTGAATGATTAAATGAATAATCTTTTGGTGCCTTGAAGAGAGGCAATATGACTTAGTGACCTATGATTTAGTCCTTTATTATATTCTTAAACTCTGAGAAGTTAAGAACTCTGTACACCTAAAGAGGATAACATTAATCATTCACTCTTTCAGGATTATTTCTGAATTAAAGCCCCATGTATACTGACCAATGTGACTTAGGAAAAAATATACAATAGGTTTATGATTGATAATTTGTTTTTTTTAAATATAAATGCAATATTTGATTTGATGCTGTTACAGATTTTCTTTTAGTGAGAAAATCTTCATACTCCTATGATACAGTTGGTTTGGCCTTTACTATCTTAGCCAGGTCCTCTTGTAACCAGAAGCAACTATTTATAAGCTAGGTTTCAGAGCCAGGGAAGCATTTGCTCCATTTTAACTTGCAGATTTTGTATCTCATTAGTGATATAGATATAGAAACTAACCCTTGGAAGAACATTAAAAATCAAATTAGAGAAGCTAAACTTAGTTTTTTATAAAAAGGACTTACAGGTAACTATAAAGCAGGTTAGACTTTAATTAAAATATAAATACTTGCTTGTCATTAAATACTTCAGTTGATTTTAGGGTTGTCTATTAATATCTATTTTATTCCAAGCAAAGACATGACCTGTGTCAGATTGTAGAATTTATGGCACTATATGTCCTTCACATTCAGTGGCTACTATTCTCTCTCTGTGGGCTTCGTATGATTTTCATCTTTTTGCCCCCAACCAGAGTTAGTGGATCTGAAATAGTTGTTTCGTAATGATAATACTTAATGAGCTATGAAATATAAAACAAGTCTTTCATTTAAGATGAAGTCAAAACTAAAATATGACTTGAGATCTAGGGGATTAAAAAATGAGAAAATTGCCGAAACCGGTTTGGCTCAGTGGATAGAGCGTCGGCCTGCGGACTGAAGGGTCCCAGGTTCGATTCCGGTCAAGGGCATGTACCTGGGTTGCGGGCACATCTCCAGTAGGAGATGTGCAGGAGGCAGCTGGTCGATGTTTCTCTCTCATCGATGTTTCTAACTCTCTATCTCTCTCCCTTCCTCTCTGTAAAAAATCAATAAAATATATTAAAAAAAAAATGAGAAAATACTTAGCCTTGACACTTGAGAAACTTTCTTTTAACACAAATGTAGTGAAATAATATTGTTTTTAATTAGTTTCTAGTGTTTAGGGCCAGTTAGAGCTAAGCATTCAAGGTTTAGCT